CCGCAATAAAATTTTGACGTATTTTCGGTTCAGTTGCATTCGGCGAGTTACTTGAATTCCGCCTTTTCCACCGTTTATCTCTTACAGAAACTACATAAGTTTTGCGAAGTACTGAGCAACAAAAAAATAAATAAATAAATAAACCAAAATCGACTTTATTAAACAACGCTATGTGGTGTGTACTTCGCAAATTGCAAACTACATGTAGCTGCAGATAAACAAACTGTTTTGGAATAATTGGAAACTTAATAACCTGTCTGTCAATCATAACATCAAGTTCCTTTGAAATAATACACGACAAATAGTAAATTACACATAATTCCAGCCCAAGAAATGTGTTTCTTAGTTTTTACGGCTCATATGGTTTGGTTGAGATCCACCAGTGTAGCTAGTGACAAATTAACATAAATTTTAGTCCACCAGTGCTTTGCGGCGTTTTAGGGAATTACACACTACATGTTTTCGTGATTATTTTGGAAAGATTATGAACTGCGATCCCCAAGAAATTAAGACACAATTTCAGTTAGTGAATAATACTATCTTTAAAACGCGTTTTCACAAAATGTGACGATCAGAGAAAAAGCAGAGCAGAGAATAATTCTTACGCGGGTAAGTTAAGGTACGCAGTTGACAACTGACAATACAGCCATAAATGAGATGGGTATGAACAAATAAATGCCTGTCTTATTGAACACAAACAAAAATACTTGATTGAAGCCTAAGGGCAGTACGATTGAATGAGTTCAGGAGCAAGTTATATCTAAGGTGATAACGTCAACTCGAGATTGAAGCAGGCCTTTACTTTTAATTAATGTCGACTCGAAGCAAAGTACTGGAATTGGAGTGCACTCCCTCCAATTTACGCGCGGCCAGAATGCGGAAAAGCTCTTCACACGAGTACGCTTGCTACGTAGGCTAAGCAGAGAGTCAAATTGTTTTTGCAGGTGTCTAAACCAAATGACAAATTTTGTGTACTTAGTTAAAATTGTTTGAAGTCAATATTCAAATCAGTCTCAACCATTAAGACTCATAATTACAAGAACTAGCTACTGCTCCCAAACGGCAGTGACAGTACCATAGTTTTATAGCTCATCAAACTTCACGATTGTAAAGTGTGTTAAAGACGCTACCGATCAGCTTTGACCTTTGAACCAAAGAAAGCAGTGGACGAGGATGTCGTGGTACATGTACACCAGTTTAACTGTCAGCATCACAGCAATAGCTGGAAATGGATTTGTCATTTGGTTGATCTTAACAAAATCTAAGCTCCACAACACCACCAACTGGTTTATTTTATCTCTTGCTGTGAGTGATCTCATGGTTGGTTTGTTCATTACACCATTACACATTGCGTGTAAAAAGTTAGAAACGTGTGATGTTTACCTGAAAAGTGTCTTTGAAGAGCTCTTTTTGTACGAGTCAATCTTTAACTTGTCCGCTATGACGGTAGATCGTTATCTTGCCATTGTCCATCCTTTGAAGTATGCAAGTTACATGACAACAACTGGCGCTGTGAAAACGATGGCGATTTCTTGGGGAATACCACTTGTGAATTTTGGCCTTCACTTCTCTTGGCTTTATGCCGAGCCTGCCACAAGAGCAAAATGGTTTCGCATTTTTACCATTATGGAAACAATTGTCATGGTAGCCATTCCCTGCATGTTTCTAATGATGGCAAATATACAGATAATCCGGCTAGCGCGGCTCCACTCAAAACGAGCGATAGCTCAATTGCATGGGATAAACTTCAATGAAATGAGGAACAATTCCACCGAGCAACCAAACGGGGCACTTTATGAAGACAATGAAAGGCAAACAAATGTAACCGTAGATTCTC